TTTTTTTTTTTTTTTTTTTTTTTTTTTTTTTTTTTTTTTTTTTTTTTTTTTTTTTTTTTTTTTTTTTTTTTTTTTGACTTTTAATGTTTGCATTTACTAGTTGTTCTTGCCCTTAAGAACATTGACGTTCTGCGAGTATTTTTGATCGGTGATTTGGTTGCCGCGGCAACTATGCCTTCTGTGATGCTTGGTCTGGCCGATTCACTTTATTTCTTGAACTGGTTCGACTCCTTAATTGGTAGTATTAGCGGGCTATTAGGAATCTTCATATTCGGGACTATCTTCTATGGTAACGCGAAGGATGGGATCAATCTTCTCCAACTCCCAGATGGGCTATATGTCGACGATTATTCCGTCCTCGGTGCATTCATTGTTGCACCTGTAGCCGCGGTCCTGATGACGTTCGGTAGCTTTGCTGCTAGAACGGGTATTTTGTATGCATGGGCCAAATACAAAAGAGAAGAATTCAAGTTTCCAGAGAAAAAGCCCTTGGATTCAAGGAAATATGCGGGAGAGGAATTCACCATGGCTGTAGAGGATTCTTTACAAAAGGATATCATCATTTCCGATACCACTGCCAATACCACTAATGTCCCTTCCAGTAGCAACCTTATCAAATGAGCTTAGTTGAATGAATGAATCCTATTTATTTGCAAGAATCATTCAGTAAATATTTGTCTTTCCCTTTTTTGGGATAAGAGCGTAAGAATTGTGAATGTGAGGCGAAGGAATGAACGTCTGTCATAAAATTGTATCAACGTCGTGTTCCTGTTTATACAGTCAGCTTGGACGGTCATATATCTTCCTCAATATACAGAGAAAAGTCGCTTCTTAATCTTTTAAAGACAGATGATACCAAACTCTTTAGAAATCCTTCGATAAAGAACTACCCATCAAGAAAGCGAAAAGTAAAACGCGTATATACAGCCAAACCTATTTATACCGATACGAGTGGCACCGGCCATTTTTATCGGTATAATCAGAGGCCCTGTACAATCTAATAGGACTGATTCGGGTAAATGAAATTTATCGGTATGACTGTATATTGAAAAATAGCATACCAACGAGTTGTTTGAGTATTTTAGTTGTGCTTAAAGGTTGCAACACGAATATTCTATTTTGACGTTGACGGTATCAAAATCCGGCACTTCCGTGCACCCCGGGATTTCTTAACTTTATCTCTTGATTCAAAGAGAAATTGTTGTACAAATAGTGCTAGTACTAAAGGCCATTAAACAATATGGTAGAAATTTATTTTTTTTTTTTTTTTTCAAACGCAACGTTCGCAATAATTTTACATAAGGGATATTAGAATAAATGTTACCATTAAAAGATGATGAACGAAATGTACGCAATAAGCAGTCTTTTTCATCAATTATAATCCAAGGATTCCAATTTTCATATGGTCTACATGAACATGTCGTTGTACCCCTATATAGAGACCAAATAACCATACGAGATTGTAAGAGCGCTTTTACTCATCTCATTTTAACCAATAATCAACTTACCGGTGGTGGTGGTTCATCGTTGTCAGGCTCGCCGCTATATGAAAGACGGTGATTAGTATATGCTAATGGAAAAGAATCTGTAAATTGTATAATTGGGAACTACCTGAAGTAAGTAGGATTCCGTCCGACATTTTGGCGAGGATTAGTATTGAACGGAGTTATTGGATCAAAGCGAGCGCCTGGCGGCACAGCACCCCTATAATTGATGAAACGGAAAAGCGTCATTGCAATTGAATGTTCAATAAAACTCGTCTATTAGTAAGTCGTTGGCAAACCTAGGTAATGTTGGTGGGCCACCGCGAAATCCCCTGTCATCCCGAATACCACCTCTTGGCCCAAACATCGGATGATCAAGGCCAACATGCATGCCACCGCCTCGATTGGGTGGCGGTATTCCTCCGACTCCGAACCTAATCAATCAAATTCTGTATGAATAGCTGCGAAATAAGTATTTTTACATTTAAGGTCACATGTTAAATGCATTCACCTGGGATATAACGGACTAAAACCGAAAGGGTCTAAATCGTCACCACCGACACTGAAGGGATTTCTAATTTTTAATAAAAGCAAGTTCAAATTAATATTTGGCATGAATATATTTCATCGGCTATGATCATCAATCCTCAAATAGGGATCAACATACGTTCGTGGGCCTTCTACACTAAATGGGTCATCGAATACTGGTGGTGCGGGATACGTAGGCGGTACTCTTGGTGGGATACGTAACGGGTCATATGGATCATTCCGGGATTGTGGTGTCCCTTGTGCACGTATAGGAGGTGTTCTATCGAAGAGAGGTGAGTCTAAGGATCAATACGAAACAATTTTAAGTTTCACAACCACTTACGTCTGTGTTGTTTCTTCATACCCTGGCTTATTCAGTCCTGGGATTAACTTTTGTAGTATGTTTATCTTATATAAACTTATCAAGTCCTTCAATCTGCTCTCAGATATGAATCCATTTACGAGTGGCTCTCTGCCATTGTAAGGAAAAAATGACGCAGACGTGTAGTCGGCAATGACTACTTCTAATGTAGACGTTTTGTTATCCTATAAAAGTTATTGATCATGATATACACATGATAATATACAAACAATTTATAGATAAGTTTTTAATAAAACTCACTTCAATTGCCAGTCCATGTACTAGAAATTTACCCGCAAGTCGTATTGATTTTATAAGAAACATCAGAGACGATTGTGGATGCTTGTATCGAAAGGCGTAGGAATCTGGACCGTTGGCATTCCATTCTTTTGGGAGGCGTGGGATTGTATCTTGTTCTTCAGTCGATGAAGCTAGGAGTATTAGACAAGATAATGTTCCGTTACAATTCAAACCAAACAGATACCAATGGTTTTACGTTTTGTTAGGTTCTTTTTTTCAGCTAAATTACCAATAGTCCCATCTTCCCCAAGTCCGATAAAACGAAAGTCTACAGCCAGCATAATGGTATGAAACAATATTGCCAAAACATCTTGACAAGATTTTAGTGGCGCATCTTGGTCATTAGAAGCTCTCTCTGGAAGGCTTTTCTCGATGATTGACAAGATTGTTGCTGGATTAAGAGGATCTGATGAGTTTCTCTGCGTAGACATGATGTAGAATTTAGAGAGAAGATATTAATACGGTATGTGTGAATTTAAATGATTGCGTCATTTTCGCGCGTACGCCTTAGTCTAACCTTATAAAGTAAAGATTGTCACAAGCAGGGCGTCTCGAACACAAAGTTAATGCACGCAAGGTAATCTAAGCACGTATTATAGACCGACTGTCTCTGTTCACGTGTCAAGACGAATATTTCCTGCATTAACATAAGGGATAATCGCCTCGTGTCCGAGTGGCATTCACGATAAATAATTGTTACTTATTGAAACGCTTTTATTATAAGTGAAATACTATGGTACAGGACATCTATAGCCCAAATAAAATACCCAACTTTCAAAACCCTAAGGCTTTTATATTAGAGGGTTTAGAAAAAAACTAATCCGTAAGAATGATAGAGCAGACGAAGTAGAGTAAAAGTTGCGGTTTAAAACATCGCATCGATTCAAAGAATTTGTTCAAGAATCATTATTACCAGAAATAGGCATCACCAAGACGATTAGCACAAGGACAGCACATCGATGGTTAAATATCCTTGATATCATTATCAACAACAAAAACAAGGAATATGTTATGATGGACATGAGAGAGAAGATGTTGAATGTCGGCAAATATCTTTATAGATGGTCAAGTTCGAAAAATATATGAAGGAAAAGATATGAAGAGAATTAATTGCACCTATATTAAATTTAGAAGAGAAGGAGCACATATTAGTAGTCCACAATGAATGCATTTTTCTGCTCGAATGACGGAAAACGAAACGGGCTAAATTAGGTGAGTTGCCACTGCGCAAAAAAGGGAATGGGAATCAATCATGATGAGTGAATTTTTAACTAAAGGACTTAAACTTACTGTTGAACATATCGAGAATAATCCTGATGTTCCAGAAGAGGCTCGAGTATATTTAAAACCAGGAACAAACGGAAAAGGATACTAGACGGCTACACATCTTATGAGCAAGTCGAATATAAAGCCATTCCTATATTTGAGGCTTTATTCCCAAATTGCATTACAGTATTTGCCTTTGATAATGATTCAAATTATTCCGCATTTGCACCTGATGCATCGATTGCGAAGAGAATGAATATTGGATGCACCAAAAACGCGGGATACTTTGGGGTCCAAATAATGAAAGACAAAGTGTGAAATTTCCCGAAAGGCATAAAACAGATCTTGAGTGAAAGAGGACTGTGGACAAAAAATATGGTAAGTGAATGCAGATTATGTCGAGATGAGAACAATAATCCTTTACGTGTAGATTGTTGCGAAAGAAAGATTATATCTCTTCAACCAGACTTTTTGGTATATCGGCGTTGGTTGAAATGATCGAAAATTCAGGTCACGTTTCCAAATTTCATTGCACATTAAATTTTATTGAACGGTATTGGGGAGCAGCCAACCGATTTACACGGAATAATTGTAATTACACATGGAGTGGATTACAAGAAACAGTTTCTCGTGCTCTCGATTCTGTAAATTTAATAACCATTCGTAGATTTGCACAAAAAATGTGGCTATTACTATATGATTTGTATAAACATGGATTATATAAATTGCACAGAAGAATTCCCGAAAATGCATGGGAGAAATTAAGGACAAACACCTTGAAATGCAACCAAATAGGCGTGCACCTCATCCATATTTACTGACCAATAGGTCACAGGGAGGGAAAACAGACCCCATCTTTAGGATATATTAATCTAGTACAAGTAGTGTCTTGGAACATATTAATTAATAGATTATAACGTCCTGGGACATATTAATCTAGTACTAGTACAAGTAGCGTCCTGGAACATAATAATATATTAATATGTTCCAGGACGCTCTCGGGTAAGTATTTTGATGTAAATGAGAAGCATGTTTTACTAATTACTCGCATAAGAGGCATAATATACCCTGTCTTTTTGAAGAAATTGCTGTGGAATGTTTACTAGGCACATTTGATATCATACATAATAAAGCGTAATTATGAAGTATGTAATATTAATGCACAGTAGACAAAAACTCATCATCGCCACGTTTACAAATTAAGTCTAAAAACGACATCATATTAGGTCTATTAAACATTTTAAAAGGCGCACTAAACAAGGGTTCTATTACCTTTACCTTGTTGATTGAACTCTGGTTAAACGTTCTGTCAATAATAATATAATAAGTGGGCTATAACAAATATATTATAACTGATACAGCGCTGCCAATAAATAAATACATTATAAATCTGATGACGAAAAGTGAAAGACATTATTGTCGATACTATTGCTATTGCTCGTAAGTGCGTTATTAGCATTCGAGACGCGTATAAAATCATTAAGATTACTGTACCCGTGACAATATGTGTAGCGCTTAATTGAAAAAATGTCTTTTTAATGTAAATGAGCTGTGCATCTATGTCTTTATACAGTTTATTCTGTGGCTGCTGTTCTTTTGACTGCATTCTGCAAACATTAACAAAACAATGTAACGTACGAGATAATAAAAACTAAAAAACATCGATTATATATGGTGAACAATGTGTGACCCCAAATCTTTCTGTGTGACACTATGTTCGCCTTGTTGCGTACCCCAAATCATGCACTTCTTTCGTTAGAACAGTTGTACTCGCGACCATGTCAACCCCAAGTAAATGTATGTATCGCTGAGGTAACGAACAGTAATTATTCCTTTGCCACCACGTTTGTGGCGAAGCTCTCATCGAACTCTTTGCGTATCGTGTACGCGATAAGTATATATAGGACACCTTTCCTCGAAGACGGAGAAGAGAGATCTCGAGGAACTGGTACGAACCAAATCTCAAATTCGAAATATATTATACAAAGTTTTGCATTCCTTGTTTAAGTACGAAATAAAGTGAATTGCAACCATTGCCAGTTCGAACGATATGGAAAAGTATTAAGTGTCGATGTTAAACCAATGGGTTATGCATTCGTTGAATTTGAGGTAAATATGACGTTTGAAATTATCCTATTCAAACTGAGCATCGAAGTTTGTTCATAATTTATCAAAGCATTTTAACTCTTGCTCTTCCAACCTCCCTGCTCTCCCCCAATTCAGGACCCCCGAGATGCCGATGATGCTGTGAAGCAACTAAACGGTTATGAGCTGGATGGAGCTCGAATTGCAGTGGAATGGTCGCGGAGGTCAGGAGGACCGGGTAGTGGTTGTTTTTTATGTGGCGGACAGGGCCACTGGGCAAGAGAATGTCCCGAAGCCAGGGAAAAAGGCATGGACGTGCGAAGTGGACGATGTTTCAGGTGTGGTGAACCTGGTCACTTGGCCAAGTACTGTAGGTACGCGACGCACAGAGAATATGGGGATAGTGCAAGAAGAACGTTAACTGATATGAATATTGCGTGTTTTATGTTATAGGAACGATGATGAGAATGGTCGAGGTAGAGGTCCGTCAGGACATTCCTCCCGATACGGCCGAGACAGGTCTCCTTATGGCGATCGAAAACGTTATGGTGATGATTATGACCGCAATCGCCGTTATTCAAGATCTCCCGCATCCTACAAAAGGTCGCATTCGCGCTCAAGAAACCGATCACGAAGTCCTAGTCCATATAACAGCAAATATGATGAAAAGTATGAAAGAAGTCCAAGTCCATATGGGTAGGTCTCCGGTTTGTCTTCTGCAGTTGTTCACACGCTGTTGTTTTTTTCCCCTCTTTTCGTGGAGAGGCTGAGAGGGCAAGCGGGCTGAACAGGAGATAGAAGCATTGGAATGCGGCGCTTGGATGTGGGAGTATGCGATCTTTGTCTTACCAATAACCTTTTTGTCTCCTTTTGTGTATACGATGTGGTCATCATCCGATTCTTTCTCTGAAATTCTTAATAGGCGTGGAAAACGATACTAGACCAGTACGGTACGTGAGCTCATACAACTCTCTAAGGATGGCATATATGCCGTAAAATATGGCTTGAAACGTTGACTTTCTGGATGGGGACATGTCGCATTATAAGTTAGCAGTTGCTAATCCCTCTAGTTTATCCGTTGTCTTGTGTGGATCAGGTATGGAGAATCGTAAAGATTCTGTAGTAATGAATACTGGAGATAATGACTTGCAAGAATTAATGTCTTTGAAAGAGAAAGCATCGTGCATCGTTAGGATCTTTTATCCGGCAAGTAATGTCAGCCATGTATATACATGGTATTATGAACTTTTAGAATTAATGTGGGGAGAACATTGTTTCTGATCTGGATTTGGATGGGAATGGAGTATTCTGGGATTTATGAGATTTGTGGGCTCATTGATTTTGTATGTATCTAGTAATATATTACCAGGAAAGAAATGAATTTCTGGATGACACTAATGTTTGTCATTTAAGAATTGGAAGATGGCGTGACTGTAGGGACTGATGGACACAGTAACCAGTAAGTTCAATGGTGCTCTTTCTTACCAATACATTCGGAACATGCGTCCTTTTGCTAATGCCAAACAAGTTTGCTAGAATAATCCCAACTGAACTGATAGTTAAACTTAATAGATTCATATGAAATCTTTTTTTGTAAGAGTAGTTATTAGGAACAGTAATTCTATACATATGGTTTAAGTTAATTTGGTGTAGCTCGGCGGCGCATACCGTCGCTTCAGATACTTGACGATGTAAAGTGGTAAACTGCTGACAGCTGTTATCACAGCTACTTTCCACACAAATGTCAACGTTAAGATGAAGGTCATGTCTATAAGGACGAACAAGGCGTTAATAGATCAGACGTGGCTATTCATAAATCATGGGTATCGATAAAAAAAACCAAGAGTTTACCAAAGTAAGTTGGAAGGAACACCATTGAGATGCAATATATTGCTAGTGTCACAATCTCCGAGAGAATCATGTACGCATGCCTGTAGAGTAAGAAACGTTAATACCAAGTGGTGACGAGCAAAGCTCTGTATATGCAAATCACGTACCAAGTATGTATCTCCAAAGCAACCATTAACAATTCGTTAAAGATCAGAGATGTAAAGGATATAGATACAATATGAATGAATTGATCTTCAAATAATACAATAGACATTATCATAATTGCACCGCCTAAATAAACCGATGATTCCATTAAGAAAAGGTATTGTCATTAGCTCCATATGAGTTCTTAACTTCCGTGACAGCTTTCATCGTCTGATCAAGAAACTCATTGCCTGAATGTTAGATGTCTGCTAAGAGTTTTTGAAAAACATCTTCATTCTGCAGTCACAAAGAATATTCTTGCGAAAGTCGTTCAGACAAATACAGACTAAGACACAATTGTTTCATATATTTAGTAAAATACCTTGGTATACACTTATCATCACCCATTGGAAGAAAGTCTTGTACGATAATGATCGACCCTATTGAGGATATATTATTTGTTAATTGACGATACCTCACATTATTAATAAATATTCTTCCAATCTGCTTGCCTTTGTTAGCTCTTTGTATAACTCGGGATACATCATCGCTATGTCTTCACTGACATCTTTGTCTAGTACTAGCGAAAATACTGGTGCCATAGTATATACGGTGGAATAGCCCACCATTAACAAGCCTTGATACAGTGCAATTGGTGCGAAGTAAAATATCGAGGAAAATACTGCTTGAATTACAGATATGATTAATCCGCGATGTATGACAAACTGGGCCAATTTTGCTGATCGCTTATAACTATTTCTCCCATGCCACACTATTAATAAAAACGTATAGAAAAACTCAATGAGAAACAACAAAATGAATAAAATGCAATAAGCAAGTGTTGAGGAGTGGATCAGACTTACATAAAAGCCTTGTTAAGTGGCCAAACTGTGTGATTGAAAAGTCAGCTGCCAGGGAGGCCTGTTTCCCTTCCTTTCCGACAATCCCCACACCTATAAAAAAACATCGAAATATTAAATACTTTGACGGTAATTACACGATTGAAGTCCTTATCGCATAATATTTACCAACATCAGCAGCCTGAATCATACTGACATCATTCCCACCATCTCCAATACATAAAACACGTTTCTTTGTATAAGTCTTTATTAACCGTGTAATATCGGCCTATAATTCATATTCAGGTTAGTCTCGCACTCAACCCAATACGTCATGCCATGCACATGAACCCGGTACATACCTTCTGCGTCGGTGAGCATCTGCATGCTACGACAACTGGTAAACGAACCGCCAACTCAATAAAATCGTTCTTGAAATGCTCTAAAAACAACTATGGACACAAGTGTAATCCAATACATCATGGGCAAAGATATATTTAAATTAACAAAAAGAATTTCATGACACGTTTTCTCGATGACCGTTTGCTATATACCTGAAGGGACTCGCCATCAATGACTAAACAGCAGTCTGTATTACTTTGTATAACATCCATCTCATCCATGGCGGCTTCTGGGCTTTTTACTAATTTTTATAATAATGAAGAAGTATATATATTTCGTAAACAAATGAACAACTTAATCGATAAAAGCATGTCAATCTGTACTTACGTTTCTGGACAGTATGAATGTATTGATTCCTCGACACTAGTTTTGATGAGACTGCAATGCACGTAGCAGTCTCGATTTTATCACCTGGATAAATCGATAAATACGTTTATCGCGTAATCACTATCGAATATAAACAGAAATAAACAACCGAGGCACCCGAAACAGTGAGGAGAATAATTGACATTCAACCAACCAGTTAACATCCATATCCTCAACCCAGCATTACGTAATAATTCCAAAGTACTTTTAACACCGTCTTGTAGCTTATCTTCAACACCAGTCAATCCTAATAGCTCAAGATCCTGCTCTAATATCGATCCGACGACTGACTGTTCTTGTGCTTTACGATCGCTAACACTAATCGTCGCTTCATGGAATCTATATAACAAAAAACATTCCCATATCAATTACCAATCCTTTCGTTACAAAAATCACGTGCATCCCCATTACCTCTCTTCGAACTCAGCATAGGACTCTTCGCTTAATCTTTTTCTCGCTACAACCAGAGTCCTCAGTCCTTCTCTTGCCATGTTACCACATTCTTCATCCAACCAGTCATTATATTGAACTATTTTACTCATCACTACGTCTGCACCTTTTTCATAGAATACTATTTCCTCAGTTAAATTATCCTTCACTACTATTCCCATCCGTTTGGTTTCACTTGTGAATGGGAACAGTTGAAGAATGGAAAATTCAAGTATATCTCCGGTCCGAGTGCGAAGATGGATTTCGGAAATATCTCGAAATACAAGAGTAAGGCCAACTGACTCTGTCCACTTGACTATTGCAACTTCATCCGGTGAAGATGCCTGGTAAGTGACCTCACCGTCTTCTTCAACAGGAGTCACCTTAGTTGATTGACAAGTTCATATTAACATTATGTATTGACACTTTATATGTCTATATCTCTATAAATCGTAAACAGGATGACACCCTTACATTATGGCAAAGTGCAAGAGCCAGAACGATATCTCTGATACGGGACGTTATGTCCCTTCTCTTTCCAGCCACCCAGCCACGCGGCATAGTCCTAGCGTGTACATCGTCTATACGGTAGTACATTATACGTCAGATATTGATAATTATATTCAGGAAGAGCATAACATGTCTTACCTTGACGCTTTCCAAAGGCTATTTCAAGCTGTGCAGTAATTTCGTCCATGGTATCTGTTGCATACGACATCGTACCCATATGGAGTTTTTTTAGTTCCATATCTACAAAAGAAAAACAATTTAATTAAGATTGCCCAATAACATTGCATATTTGAAGTTTTCATTTCTAACCATTCTTTGTCAGAGTTCCAGTCTTATCCGATAATAAATATTCGATCCTTCCAAGCTCCTCGGGAATAGTACTTGTTCGAACAATAGTTTCAGGGATTTCTTTGTCGTTCATTATTTGGTGTCCATACACCGTTTTACCCATGTCGAGATTCACTCGAAGACTAATTACAGATAAATGAAATCTGTTATCTCACGCATAACAGACCAACAGTAATTTTTATTAAAAGTACTTACCCAATGGGAATAATTGAGGAGAAAAGAATTAGAAAACGTAATAAATAGATGTACCACAAACCCCGAAATCCATTCAACGCAATCAAGACAAAGGATAGTAGTAATGTCACAATGAATAATATCTGTAATTATAATTACATATGTTAATTGTTAATGTAAGTCTACGAGATGACTCAAAATTACCGTCAAACCTTTGAAAGCTTATTTATCTCATGATCCAGAAGACCGATTTTCGTTTCTGGATGACTAGTATTCATTACTGCTCTAGTTTCTTGTCCTGTATAGATTACGAATCCAACAGCAGTTCCCGAAGCAAGAACGGTGTTCATCCAAAGCGTGTTCTCAACGTTAAGCGGCTCGACTTGGGGAACCTTAGAATTGCAAAAAAGACGTTAGATTGAATATACGATTTGAGGCGTAGTAGGACATTCCTTTATTAAAACTTACAACTTGTCCAGGAATATTCTTGGAAAAATTTCCAATAAAATTATGAATATCTTTACTCGGACTATCGGCTACAACGGTTATGAAAATTTACTGAGCGTGATATCTAACAGCAAAGAAGCAAAATTCCAGAAATTTCTGCTTACCATAGACATCTGCATCTATTTGTAGCAGACTCTCGTCTGATGGTAGTTTTTGACAAAATGGTACTGCAATTCTGTCAAAAATCAAGCATCAGTACACTGATTGAATATTATGCCAGAGACAAGGCGCTCTCTACTGTCAGTTCTATCAAGAAGTATGCATGTAGATACAGTCGACTTTATAAATATAGGATAGCATTTGTTTGTAAATACAGTCAAACCTATGAGTGGCAATGGGTATAATAAGAGGTTTTTTTTAATAGAAAGACTGATTCCGATAACGAAGTTTTATCGGTATAACCCGATTCGCTATAACCAATATCAGTATAAAAGGTTTGACTGTATGCGTATTATATTTACTTGCGATAGAATTGATTAGAACTAATTCTTGATCACGTGTACTTCGTGCGAAAATGTCACAATGTATCCACATGCATACAATGATTTCGAAAGATTAAATTTCGAAGGCCAAATCTTTGGATGCATAAATTGCGCATGCAGCTTATTTCTTATTCATAAAAAAGCGCTTTTTTATGCGAACGGGCGGAAATATATCTATATGAAGCTTAATAAAATCCGACTGACACGTAACCTTAATTTCCAATCAGTTTCTCCGTCTAACTGGTCTGTCCTGATGAAGCAAGCTCCACTTGTCTCTGTTGTCCTAAGTAGAACAACATCAGCTGGTACCTGTAATATTTAAAAAAAAAAAAAACCAACAACAACAACAAAACAACTGTTATATTAAAAAATAGGAAGAAAGAGATCTTGAACGATGTCTTTTATTCCTTACTCTGCAATCCTTGTGAATGACTATCATATCTCCGACGCGTATCTTAGAACTTGGTATATACTTATAACCATTTTTTGTGAGAATCTGATATTTCTGGGAATTATTCTCCTTATCACGTTTATAACGTTTCCAATCGTCATATGCTTCCTTCCCAATAGTGACAACCAATACGAAGCAGAGAGGACCAAAGTATGTTATAATATATCCTATAATGAAGTGTAATGTTTAGCGAGGACGTTGGATATGCAATCCATTAATGAAGTCGAAATAAGCCATACCAATCTTCAGTTGCGGTACAAATTGCGATAATGCTACAACTAAGAAATAAAGGTTGATAAAAACGTGAAACTAGGCAAAATTAAGAAACGTTAAATAGGTACGAGATCAAACTTAGCACGCAAAACCATATATATTTGATTACCTGCTCATATAAAACTAACGGGAAAAACGTTATTAAGTTATACTTTTGATTACGAATGACATTGGGAGGATATTTGTCTTTTATTTTATCTAAATAAACTCGATGTGAGTTGTGCAAATTCACGAGAATCCAAATTTACAGTTGACACAGTCTGAAATACCGGAAGTGTGAAAATTAATTGTCCTTGCTTTTGCTGTGTTTCTTGGCCTTGTACGCACCGTTGACGTAGATGCGTTCGTTAAGGCCGGACGCCGACGCCGACCACCACTAGACGATTCCTGTCATACCATAGTGATTAGCGACAGCGGTTGAATATAATTTCATTTGACACAGTAAGATTAGCCGTGTGAGTAATGCCCTTTACAGGAGTAGCACCACAACTATAATCGTGCACTTTGAACCTGATCCATAGCTAACATAATTTATTCCCCGAGTCCGTTTTTCGTTACAATCATACTAACCTCAGCCCGTTCAGCTTCTTCAATCAAAGGAGTTTCATCTTCAGTATCAGAATACCTCAGCTTTGTCCTAGTTTCACTAAACGGCATTATGGCTTTCAAAGCAATTGAAGGCTCCCTTGCCATTGTCAAACTCTACACGAAGTTGATCGAAAAACCCAGTCCTCCTCTGCAGTATCACGTTTTTTTGACGTATATGTCACAATTGTTAAGTTTCACTGCAAAGCTTTTTAACCAATGAAATATAGACTATCGTCTACCCAAGTTAGTTAGAAATTTTTGAGTATTTAAACGAGCCTGCACCCAAGATCTTTTCTGCGCCGTGACTTGTTAATAGATAGAAACTGACAGAAGCAGGTACCATCTTAAGGCACCGTATTTGCAAGTCAAACACCTTTTATCTCGCGAAATTCTCGATGGATGCTACTTTAATCAAAACTGGTATGTTGCTTTTATGTTGTCGAATTCTTACATTGCGTTTGAAGAGATAAATGCGTACTCTTCGTTCTGACTGGACCCTTGGTAACAGTTAATAGGCTTCAGGATGCCTTTGCAACTGTTGGTGTTCAGAACCCTGTTGACTTGCCGCAGATTGTAGTTATTGGTTCGCAGTCAAGTGGAAAAAGTTCAGTATTGGAAAATATCGTTGGGAGAGATTTTTTGCCTCGAGGTACTGGCATAGTTACAAGACGACCTTTGGTAAGACTTGGATTTTATTGTTATTGAACTTGGGCATAGTGTTCGATATTTTCTTCCGGACAATATGAGACTCTTGGATTCATAGGGCGCAGATGTGATCTAGATTAAGATTTCTTGGAAATTGCCTTTTTTGTGATCGCTACGTGTAGGTTTTAGATCGACAATATATTGTGTTCCCGATCATCTATGACTAAACTACATTGTTCAACGTTTTTTTACATTGTCAGGTTTTACAACTTATTAATCGACCGCGCACTAACAGCACTGAGGGTGGTAAGACTCTCAAAATTATTGCTTTAACACTGACTGCTCTTATCGTCAAGCTGTTTTTACTTTCTTATAGGACCTTCACAGACAAAAGGCTCAGAAAACAGCAAGAAATCAGCTGAAGAAGCAGATGAATGGGGAGAGTTTCTGCATATTCCCGGAGTCAAATTCACGGATTTTAATAAAATTAGAGAAGAGATCGTCAAAGACACTGAAGCAAAGACCGGAAAGAATGCGGGTGAGTAATCATTTTTTTTAGTGCTCCTTGGTTAATGCATTACTTACAATATGTCTTTCAGGTATCTCTCCACAACCAATAAATCTACGAATCTTTTCTCCCAATGTATTGACTTTAACGCTGGTTGATTTGCCTGGTCTCACCAAGGTAACTACATAAACTATATGTTGAAACCTGAAACTGGCATATTTGATGAAGACTTATAATTATGGCTTGTTAATAGGTGCCTGTTGGGGATCAACCGAAGGATATCGAGAAACAAATTCGTGATATGATTCTTAAATACATTACCAAACCCAACGCTATTATTCTTGCTGTCACAGCGGCCAATACGGATTTGGCGAATTCAGATGGATTAAAAGTGGCGCGAGAAGTTGATCCAGAAGGTTTAGTTTCGTAAACTGACAAATTAGTCTAATCTGCGTCTATAAACTGAGACTCTATAACTTTCCAACAGGATCACGTACAATTGGTGTTTTGACCAAGATTGACCTTATGTAAGTATGTTATTCGTTTGAGTTTGGTGAAAATCTTAACACACGCTAATATTGCATTTTATCCAGGGACCAAGGAACAGATGTCGTAGACATATTGGCAGGGCGTGTTATTCCTTTACGTCTTGGTAAATTGGAATATTCGTCGTACAATACCATACGAAATTTTGAACTAATTAATTATATGCATTAGGTTATGTACCTGTGGTTAATAGAGGCCAGAAGGACATCGAAAGTAGAAAAGCAATATCAATGGCTTTAGAGGCAGAGCGTGCATTTTTCGAAAATCATCCAGCGTATAAAAGCAAAGCACAGTATTGTGGTACACCTTTCTTGGCGAGAAAACTAAATATGGTAAATTATTCGCTTCTTTGTTAACCGCTGATCTGTTCCACTAATTGGTGTCTTGTTCTTAATCCTTGCTTATCTCGATTCAATTTACTTCTTCACTTAAGATTCTTATGCACCACATTCGTAACACACTTCCTGAGATCAAGGCCAAGATCCAAGCAGCCCTTGGAAAATATCTAACGGAACTCGCTCAACTTGGTGATCCACTAGACGAGAATGGCAAGAATGCCAGCCTTGTTCTCAATATAATTACGGAATTCTGTAGTGAATTCCGCACCATAATCGACGGAAATTCGCAAGAACTTTCATCATTTGAATTGTCGGGTGGTGCTCGTATCAGCTTTGTATTCCACGAAGTCTTTTCGAACGGCATCAAATCGATAGATCCATTTGACCAGGTCAAAGATGTTGACATCCGGACTATTTTGTACAACTCATCGGGATCTTCACCTGCATTGTTTGTTGGAACGACTGCTTTTGAGGTTATCATTAAGCAACAAATCAAACGGTTAGAAGAACCCAGCTTGAAGTGTGTGTCGTTGGTTTACGAAGAGTTAACTCGCATTTTGAATCATTTGTTGACGAAACAGGTATTATGCTTCGCATAAAAAAAGAAATTGCTATAAGAGAGTCATTGTCTAAATTTGAATCAAATGTTGATTTTCTAGTTGTTCAAGCGATTCCCTGGTCTAAAGGATAAATTCAACCAAGTTGTCATTTCTTTCTTTAAGAAAGCCATGAATCCTACAAACAAGCTTGTACAAGACCTCGTAGCGTGAGTATAATGAAACTCGACTTCAGCGAATCATACTTGAATGTCTCATAACCGTTGGTATTATTACTTTTATAGAATGGAAACGTGTTACATCAACACAGCTCATCCAGACTTCTTGAATGGGCATCGTGCAATGGCTATTATTAATGAAAAGATGTCAACAAAGAATTCACAGGGCACTGAGAAAGGTCGTGGTAACATCAATGCATTGACGACGAATCCGTTGTTCGATACGGACACACAAAATGCTGGATTCTTTGGCACTTTCTTCAATTCATCGAAAAAGAAGAAGTCTGGAGCTATGGAAGCGGTAAAGTGTTTTGTATAGCTTATTTTATGGGGGAACGCTGTGTTATCAGAAAATAACTATGGATCTTACTTCATAGCCCCCAGCAGTGTTAAAGGCATCTGGCAATCTATCTGAACGTGAAACTATGGAAACGGAAGTTATAAGTGAGTTTCACGTATTGTCTATTGTTTATTTACTGTTCATAACTAACTAATGTTGCCAATCTACCTTCGGACAGAACTCCTTATTCAGTCGTACTTTAATATTACAAAGCGAACGATTATTGACATGGTTCCCAAGGCGATTATGCTAAACCTTGTTTTTAATGCCAAGGAAGAACTCCAACGTGAACTCCTTCAAGAACTTTACAAAGCTGATGTGCTTGATGAGTTGCTCAAAGAAAGCGAATACACTCAACAAAGGCGAAAGGAATGCAAGAAGATGATTGAAGCTTTGCAGAAGGCTGATGAGGTATGGTTCGTCGTGATATTACTATATGAATGTAAATATTTGTACAGTCCAAACTAAACCTCGTGTATATTGTTTTGTCAATATTTCTGGTTATAGATTGTTGCGGCGGTCTAAGGCATCATCGAGTAAAAGAGAAAATGATGTTGGGTCTCTGCGTGTCGGCAAGGAATAATTAAAACGACGACTCGATTGTATATCTCCATTGTATTGTATAAAAACAGAGTGCTCTTTAGCCATCTGATTGGGTATAACTATAACTGTAGAGGATTATTATGAAACATAAATGGTTATGATGGACGTTAATTTTTGTATTTATTACAAGTAGACTTGGTATTTATATAGATACCATTGAAACGTTTGGTAAACTCTAGTTGGAATTTGTTATGATGTACATGATTTAGTGATTGAAGGAATATGGGAAAGCATTTGTTAATACCGTTCGAGACTATTTAATATGGTGTAACGTGGCGGCATCTTCAACTACGCAAGTAAGGACTAAGCTCAGGCATTAATCGTGCACATATAAAGTAAAACAATATGTGCAAGATAAACTACTCAATGCTAGAATAGCCATTCGTTACCACGATCATTCGGGTTAGCGTTCCACGAACTTTCAAAAGTCTAATGGATACTTGGATGTTAACACAGTCCAGTAATCACACGTATGTAATAATGTCACGTGAAAGGCTATCGGTTATGATTATTAGTATTAGTATTAGTATTAGTACTGTATTAGTATTTTAAGAATACACGACAGCGACAAGTTGATGTCTGGAATTAAAAGAGAAGCTTAAGGATGCTGTGATGTATGGAAGCAATTGTGCTAAATTTCCTTGCTCAGTTGTGTATCGTCTTCCTTCTTTGCCTTTATTATTAAAATATACATTTCTATGTTTCGCTTGCTACATTCTAAAGGCAGTGATTGTTTTTCTTGCTGCACATTGACTCTCGTAATGAATGTAACTGACAGATGTGTAGTGTACAGTTTACACCCATGCCTTGTTACCAAGAATTTTTGAGTATTACACTTAGACACGGGGCTTTCTATCAAGGAAAACTTCATGACCCGTCACTTGTGTTTATTTGTATTGCTAAATTGGTAGAGAAATTATTTAAGTTTTTATTAGTGATCAGTTTTTTGCTATATTTGAGTTATTTGATCCATAGTTGGTAAAAATTTTGAATATGGGCATGGCCAAGAAAGGATGCTAATGCTCTAAGTGCTATCCATTAATCTGTAGGACGAATTTAAATGAGCAGCAGATGCACGAGCTTTCCATTCACTAGTAGTTTGACTTAGTTAATATTAACGTGAACGATAACGGACAAGGGAGTTGCTATCAGCTTCTGATGCTTTGTGAGATGTTGCCACTGTACTTATCACCAATGTAATTCGTTTTAATTCAGTTCATCAAGACTATACGCCTAAGAATTATGGACATTTCTCAGAAGGCGCAACTGCATTAGTAATCATTTCAACATTTAGCGTCATAAACGCCCGGTTTGTTTTCATAGTTGAAAAGAACCAAGCCCAGGACGAATTTACAAGATTTGCGTTCTTTATTAGCTGCACTACCACTTTCACGAGGCCTCCAAAGCAAAATACATATTCCTCTCTACAACGATATTATCCATTATTGGAGCCTTGTATGGCTCGATTGTGTCATGTAGATCGACCCTGAAAATTTTCTTTAACTTTTCGCCCAATAATCGAATCTTCTTACAAAAATGGCCAAAAGTAAACAATCGAACGCAACAGCATCTTCCAATGGCAAAGCTACTACCCATTGGCTTTTCCAAGAATATGAAATCACGATTCGACCAATAACTTTATTATCGTTGTTAACAATAATACTTGCTGTATATTCTGTATATTATACTGGGGAATATCGTGAAAAAGTTCAGCTATGTGAACCGTCGTTAACTGAAGGGAAGGACGAAATCACATGGATTGAATTACCACGCGCCAAACCAACTGATAGTTATGCTTCGCTTAGCAATGGAGCATTTGTTTTCAGACGTATTTATATGGATGATTTTTGGAACGAGTTTTGGGTTGAACCGATTAATTGGCCGGTGAGCTTGGACTTCATACAATCACTTTTTTTTTTGCATGGCAAACTATGGTTATAGTATTGCGTTTATGCTCCATGGACTTTGGGGGCCATCTCTTCAAATACTGAGCACATACTTTAAATAGGAGTTTGACGAAGGAGCGCTTTCACTTATTGAAAGAAACAATCTTCAAAAAAGTATTTTTCAGGCTAAACACATCCAGCCTAATGTACTCAAAACCGTACTCAATGCTACTGATAAGTATACCCCAAAGGTTAAAGAAATTGAATTGGCTGATAAGAATGGCACTTATATCGATGATAGAAGTATGTATGTACGCTGGGTGGATGATAACTTGAGATTCGGTTTGTTTGCGGGACGTAACCTTAGGAGCGGAGAAGTGCTTGGCGTATACGCTGGTGAGTTTGAATGAAAAGACGAGAAATACGAATTGGCAGAATGTGGTAGCTACTTTGATCCGGTTAAGTTATCTATTAATGTGAATCTGCAGGCGAATATGTGAGCGACAACAGGCAGGATTATGATTATGGTAACCATCTTACAGTCATTACGTGTTGATTCATATGTGCTGTCAATTGCCTGACCTGTTGTAGCGATTCACTAGCTTGGGAATACAACTATCTTGTTCAGTTGGAAGACGAAAATGAAAAGCCCGCAAGATTAGTTATTGATGCCAAATACAAAGGAAACTACTTGCGCTTTGCAAATCATAAAGACGGTAAGCGACAAGTCTTTTTCATCATTTGCGAGATCTGTCAATGTGCATCTAACTCGAGTCATGTCATGTTCATTTCATCAGTTGATTATAATGGAGATGCGACTTATATAATTTATAATAACATGTGGCTCGTGGTCTATGTTGTTAATAATGAAATCAAGGTAAAAACTAATGTTTCATTATCTATTATTGTTGCTATTATCTTCACATTGCTTTTGACCAGGTATGTTCTATTTACTAGATGGACGAGCAGATCTTTGTTAATTATGGTGAAGCCTATTGGGCGGAGAGGACAAGATATTAACGTCCTAAATAACATGCTTTCTTCGTTTTTCTCTTCATTGTTGAACGTTGTATAACTTATTTTAACTCTGAACAATGAATTAAATCAAAATTATCTATTAGTTAAGCGTTAATGCTGCTCTCATAGACTGCTGATAACTATCGCACCCATCTCCGTAATGTCAGCTACATTGTTTTCACATCCTTCATTCAACTCGGTATTGCCGTCATAGTCATATCCAATTCCTACGCTCCTTTGTAATTGTACTTCAATTTCTCAAAGTCCCGCAAGTTCCTTTCCGACTCTTTAATCCAGTACACTGCAACAACATTAATCATAAACATTCCTAACGGTATTCCCCACCATAACACTTCCCCCTTGCGTATAGCATGCGATACCAACAATGGTACAAAGGACACGAACAATCCACTATACACATGCGTCATCTCAATTTTTGGGGATTTTACAATGTATGCAGAAACTAGCAAAGACAGTAAAGAGCATATAGTAGACATTGTTGGATAAGGTGCTGTGGAGGGTACTGGTTTAGGAAGAGGAAGAGGAATTTCAAGATCTAGCGGACTTTTTGAGAGCAAATAAAGGAAGTAAAAATAACTTCAACAAAATAGAGAACGTTATTAGGTTAGAATATATCAGAATGTGAACTCGAATATCAAGAAAATGCCAAGTTTAATAAATAGTTACAGTATTGAAAATGCAAGAGTAGATAAAGCCAATGCATTCTGCTTATTTGGAGAAAGGCATTTATTAACACTTTCCAATGCTAATGCTTGTAAATTATATGCTTCCAAACGTAAAAACTCATACCCTAAAGAAGTTGTTCACTCGATCATTGTCTGCTTTTAAGGATGCTATGAGTTGTTCTTGCTCTAAACACATATATTAATATAGTATATTAGATCGGTATATTGCAAACAAGACACGAGTCTATTACTATCGATTCTTTGCTCAGTAGACCTTGCTCGTCATATATATTTACGCTGCTTGAATCTTCGTCCGAGTGATCAGAATGTGTATGTCTTTGGTTTAGGCTAGTCATCTGGCCCACGAAGTGAAAGAACGCAACCAGATATATTTATGTTACACTCGATTTTACCGTAAATTTTTGGGTACGAGACTATTACTATGTATATCACATGATACAAAGTTTGGCGTTATAGCACAAAGATGTTTGCTACTTCTTTTGGATCAAAGCAAAATGACAAACAAGTGGAGTATCGATTTTGCCAGTTTAGATCCTTCAAGGTGGGAAGAGATTAAACTAAGCTGTTATAATCTGAAAACCCAGTCTTTAAAAGCTCACTCGTCGGTATTATAGGGGCCGGAGTCAAGTAGCAATTCAAGATCCACCTGGTTTTGCGCTTCCACATTCCTCGCAGACGCATACAAAGGGCAACCCCGTAAGCTTGATTTCACAACTACGCCATATTCCTTCTCTCAAGATATTTATTTATTGAGCTTTTACTTGTGAACGACCTCTTATAGAAAGGCAAAAAAGATCCTCCACAAACAACAGATCAAGAGACACTTAAAGTCAAGGTAAAGACCTGAACTTGAGATTAGTCGATTGGGGAGTCCAATTCTATAAATTTACATATTTTCTTTTTATCAGAAAGCATGGGAAGCGGCGTTCTCGCCCGGAAAGAACATTCCAATGAACGCATTCATGCTATGGATGAGTGGTAATGGGGTCACAATCTTCAGTGTCATGATTACTGGAATGTTGTTCTTCACCCCAATCAAGGCGTTAATGGGTGTTGACAGCGGTAGGTCAGGCCCATGTACTTTTTTCATTTGACGCCCGCACTTGGCTTATCATTTGTTTTTTTCTGACACACACACACACACACACACTCATAGTATTCGAGCGCTACGAATCGCCAAAGAACAAACGACAACTGCTGGTGCCAAAGATGGTGTACATACTTTTACAACTATGTACAATGGGATTAGGACTATATAAATGCTCTTCTATGGGACTGCTACCGACTGCAACATCGGACTGGTTAGCCTTTATGGAGCCTAAAACTATGATTGAATATTCTAATATGGAGTAATCAAGAATGAAGGCACGAATCGTAAGAATTGGTTTGAGGCGCTTTGACCGAGTCGATAAATGGCGAGCAGACGAATTCACGAGGAACGCATAGAATATATCAATATGGTGAACTCAAAACGTAAGCAGACTACCATAGATAGTTATTATTCATCGCGGCCTGGCTGGGGATGACTTCATTTAGTAACTCGAATAAAGCCGTAGAATGACGATGTCAGTCTATTAAATATTAATATGATCCCGAGGACCCGAAACTGGTTACCAGCACTCTCTGTTGACTTTTTAAGTTGCAAATAGAGACAAGTCTTTGTAACTGTATTATTCCTCGTTACTAATTCTCCTTGGCTTTTAATATTATACCGTGCAGTATTCAGTATTTATAATCCAATTAAACTAAGTAAATTCAAAGAAATCACCATGAGTTGGCAAGTATGCTACTGGTCGTTCAGTGCATTGAAAATTTCTTCCAAGCAACCGGTCAAACTATATTTTCGCATTTCAAATATATTTTAAATGACATCCCCTTTCCTTCTATCTGTCCTAATTGAAAACCGTTTCGGTACATTTTCTTGTTTAGAAAATAGTAACAACACTTGATAACACCGTTATTATGCGTTTGCGATAAACCGTCAGACGAAGCTCTTTTTCGCGGTCGGCTCTCATTCGCAAACGCTCTTGAAGATATCCCGTGCACAAGCACGGTAATCTCTCCATATATTATTCTCGCGTGCAACTTAAACATAGACAAACTGTTAGCGAGTTCCTTGCCACTCGTTTGCTCTGTCACTTCACGCTAAAGAGATGACCGAGAGCAAATGTTGCTGGATGACAAGTGGCTTAACATTCTCGTAGTACAAGAAAATACGATAGTAGATTTACTGCATGTTGTATATTATAAAATACATCTTAAAGCGTGAAAATAAAATGTTAATTTCTCTATCGGTAGGAGTAATTGATGATGGCTCATTTACGCGTTTAGTATAGAATAATTGCTGCAATGTAATCGTACGCAAGACAATTTCACACAGGGATTTCTGAAATAAATAATATTATAGAAGAATGTGTGGATAATGATTAATAAGAGAGAAAAGACATAAGAATCTGGTAATGGTAAAAATAATTAGGCGGTAGTTCTCGTGGAAGATAAATTTTTCTTATTACAGAATCCTAGTGTTCGGAATCCCTCCCGGGTAGAAATAGACGTAGAGAATTCGAGGTTAATTGGCAGTTGAGGATTAACGTCCTAATACTAAGATCTATTACTACCCCGCATCGTAAAGCCGTAAACTCATAATCGACCCGTCGAACCATTTAGAAAGAGTAGAGGTTGCCAAGCCTCGTTTGAAAAAGCTAAATACCAATGTTGATTACCAGTGTGCCTATTAATCGTCCCGTGATTGTTGACTTGCTTTTTAAATTTATTACTCTTTATGGAAATTTTCAAAAATTTGATCGTCAGCCAATCACGCTCCGAATTATGCGGGAGGTTGCTGTACAAGTTTAACCAAGACCCTTTGAAGATCTGATAATGGATCTTACGCGCAGTCAATGGCTTCATTCGGTTACGAAAAAGGTTTGTTGGCCTCTAAGCATTCGCTTAATGTTAGACTCGGCGGACAAGAATAAGTAAAACTTTCTACACCTTTTATTCAGTATCAAAATCCCGATAGAACATATAAAGATGTCGACGATACTCTAAGCATTTTTTCGCCGTCGTTGAGCTTAAAGACAGATGCATACAGTAAGTTTGAACATCTTCTCAACTATAACAACAACAGTAAATAGTCGTTTCTATTATAGTATTATGGTTTACCCCTTTCTCGGTCATTCTTGATAAATCCACGTCACTCGATATATATTCCTCGCTGTTTTGCTTATTCTCAATTAGAATTAATACAGAAATCTCACCGTAGTGTGTGTGTGATCCTTTCCCTCAAGCCTATAACGATGGTTCATCGAAGATCTTGTTGTGTATACATGGCACCATTCCTATTTCATATCGATCGATAAATTATAACATCCCTGTGGCTTTCTGGATTCCTTCGGATTATCCGTCAAGTCCACCTATGGTGTTTGTGGTTCCCACAAAGAACATGCGTGTCAGGCCTGGCCCACACGTAGATTATAGCGGAAAGTGTAGCCTTCCATATCTGCATTTTTGGAGAGCCGAGGTTTGTTTTACCAAATAAGATTATGATCGGATTCATCAACATCTGTATAGCTTTACTTACTCTTATAATTTGCGCTCATTCTTAGACCTCAAACATAATCGAACTTTGTAAAATACTACAAACCTTATTTAGCAGCAACCCACCACTATACACGTTGCCAAACGTAAGCCCTAACCCGACACCGCATCCATCAGATCGGCCACTACAGCCTGGACCTCCACAAACGACCGGTGCTATACCGTCTCCTGTATTGCAGGCGTATCGACCGAATTCGCCGACGCCGCCGCCTTTGCCTCCACCACCGTATCAACTTGGACAAGTGGGGTCGGATTCGAATAGACCCCATCAACTTGGACAAGTAGTGACGGATCCAAATAGACCCCGAAGTCAGAGTGGGACGTTACCAGCTCCAGCTGGGTCTAATGTTCGATATGGTTCGGTAAGTTAATTTTGAATAAATTGGGTGATGTCTCTCAAGCTTGAAAACTCGGGCGCGCTTTCCAGCTAATAAACCGGACATCAAATCTCCTACTACTTCTTTTCAGTCTCTTCCATCGCAAAGCGTAATCTCACCACCATCCTCATCCTCTCCCTCATCAACTCAATCCAACCAAATAACTCTCGTCGATGCTCCCCCTCCTTTAATTGTTCCTCCTCGACCACCACCAGCCCCCAACAACCCCGAACTTGTCAATCTTCAAGTAATGGTATTTGATAAAGTTGGGCGGCATTGGTACGAATACCATGATAAAAATAATCGAGAGTTTGATAAAGACATGGTATTGAGTAGGATGCTGCAAGATAACGAAGCACGCGTTGAGAATGAGAAACAGCAGTTAATTGAAGCGTTGAATGCTCTTAAAGAAAAGACAAATTTTTTACAGCAGAAATGCGAGGGAGTTGATAAAATTATAGAACAGGCGAACGCTAGACCTGAAGTTTCTGTTGATGATATATTATGTGGGACTACGGTCGTGTATAACCAGTTAAGTGTTATTGTTGGGCGGAGGGAGTAGTTAATGGTTCTCGTTCCAGTTCTAACCTGTTCTTTGTAATGTTCTAAAAGGTTGTTTGAACTTGTTGCAGAAGACAACGCCATTGAAGACGCAATCTACTATCTTGGCCGCGCTTTAAATTCCGAAAAGATCGACATTAATACATACATGAAGGTAACTAACGCTCTCCAACTCTTTCACTACCCGCCTTGCTTAATTATTTAAACTTTAATGTTTCATTTGGCTTAAAACAGAACATCCGTACACTTGCCAGGGAGCAATTCACGAGACGAGCGTTAATTCAGAAAATCAGAAAGCAAGCAGGTTTAGGTTTATGAGCCGAAATTTATTGTGTGAATAGTTAAACGTAATCTGCTTTCTTTATTCTTATGGAGGTATTATTATTTGGTTTGCTTGAAGTTAATAGATGGCTGTGTTTGTAGTTTCAAAGTGTATACTGTAATCATATCGTATATTTATGAATAGCTTATTTGAAGCGACATATTTATGGTTCGATTTATATATTCCTCGGGGTTAAATATCAATTTGCATCATTGGTTTATTTTTCCATCATCTTATGATAGTCAGCAACAATGGCTCCCTGTTAAACGAACAGGCTTCCGCATCTTGAAGATTCTTAGTTTTTATATGGCACCTGTGCCATGACTGCTACCCAATTTGCCCAGGTCGCAATTTCTAATTGAATTATTCATCGCACGCATCATCACTTTGAAAAATTACAAAGATAAGGAAATGTCTTGTGAATAGAACCGGTTAATCACGAAATTGGGCCTTACGTGGGAACTGTCTGAAAAGACGGAAGGAAAAAAGGCAAAGAAATATTGGTTTTGGTGCCATTACTGATTGAGTAATTGAGCAAAAGAATAAAGAAAAAAGCACCAAAACTGTTGGCTGTTGTCAATTTTGGTATATTGGTTTTGGTGCCATTACATGGTTAATATTAATACAGAGTGCACAAGTCACCATTATGAATAGATGCACCAACGTCTAATAGTGGCAGAAATCGAATTGGCGCTCTTCAGAATACATGGACGCATTAAGACGACGTGGAACTATTATGGATACCATCAGGCCATCAAACTACTTCCCCAGAAAGTATCTTTTGATACCCATTGTAAGCAATAAGTGCCTTTAATTCGACCACCTGCGTTCCAGAGTCGTCGGTCGAATTAACGTACAGGTCGAATTAATAAAAAATCGGGTCTTGCGAATTATGGGCAGTTTGTCTGGTTTTGTTAAATTTCTTCTACACAATGTACTTAAAAGTACATATATACTTTACTCTTTATATTTTCGTTTTTTTCTTGATTCTTCGGAAGTTTCCGGTAATTCTCGCTTCCTAGAATTTAATTCTTGTTGGCTTCGTCCAGAAATATCTTCTTGATAAGTGGTGTTTATACTTCTATCAGTTGGTAAATTTCATAGGTAATTCTCTCTTTATCCAAAATCCGACACATTAGATGCGTGAAATGTATCAAATAAATTCACTATATAAACACCAAAATCTCTTTGAAGCCAAAGCACACCCATTTGTGCACCGTGTAGTACTTTTACAATATTTGGATCAGTGAATGACTGATTCAACTGATGCATAGCGTGTCGCAGCGCTAATGCATCAATAATAAAGTCTTCTTGTCTTGTGCTTATTTGTGCCAAACATGTTATTCCTTGATATGAACGGTAGTCGTGATGCTCAAGATCTATAGCAATCTCTTGAGCAGCTTCTAATCGGTTGCATATCTCTTCTAATTGTTCCTCGGTCTCAACAAGTGTAAACAGTGTACTCTCGAGTGGTTGATATATTGATTCGGGAGTTTTATTTAATAAATGTTGCAGGTATTCTATGTTACTTATTTCATATTCGTATGGATGCGTAAGACTTGTGTTTGAGAGAAAGATCAAAGTTAGACGAAAAGCAACACATGGGCATGTGCTACTTATTTGCTCAAAGCATTGATAAAGAAGAGACAAAAAGATGCAATAAGAGCCGAATTATCGGCAGTCGACTGTACCGACCGGAATAATTCATAAGATAATGCGTGTCACAATATAGCGTGTGATTATGTCATGTCATTATTAAACAAATACGCCTTTTACTTTGCCCAAAGCCATCATCAACTTTTTGTTCGCTATAAACAATGCCCAATGTCCGAATAACCCCAATATTAACCCTGCTCCATAACCCGGGGAACCTAGCTTCTAGAAATACATTATCCTTGCTCAGGTCCTCTCTCCGCATGAATCCGGATGCATTTTCTATAGACGTACTCGATTACGCAGGCAATCCTCCTACTTCAGATCAGGCGCAGCTTATCTCCTCGTACTTGAATAAATCGGCCAAGAGTGAAGTTGGGAATGCGGCAGAAGACGGTGGTACGGGGACCGCAGAGGAATTCTTGCAACTGGCAAGAAATCAGCCAGAGGCGGATAAAAAACCAATACTAGTCGATTGGCAAGCTGGTAGAGCCATCTTCGCTGGAGAGAGGCAAAGCGTAGAAAGGTTTTTGGAAGAAGGGGGATACTTGAAAAACACGAAATAGGAGAATAAGTGTAGATGGAAAGGAAATTGGTTCTTATGCAAAAGCGTAAAGTTGGGTAAAGTTACGAGTGATTTTGATAAAAAGAGTCTGATACTGACGGTTACGCCGATCAAAACGTGTTGAGTGAATGAATACATTTACAGCAAATATATCGTATACCTATATCTTCTTGACAATAGCATTATAAATTTAGAAAGTGCTTTAAAGGAAGATTGAAATAAGGGAATTCATACGTATTATTTGAAGCTCGATTAAAAGGTTGTCTATACATATTCATCTCCTAATAAAAGGAAGAAAGGTTGGTACCTAGAAAACTGTTTTGGAGGCGGTTAGCGCGAACCTGGATATTAATATACGAAATTTGAACGAAATCGTCAAAATTCCCACATTATCTAAAATCGAAACTTAACATTAAGCTTTGTTTGGCATGCACATACAAGTGGTTTGTACTTGCTGCGGAGCAAAATGTTAAGACTTTATAGTATTAGAAAAGAAACAATCTACAGATTGATAATCACATAACTGGATTATTGTTATTGGTGAATCGATAATAATAACCATAATACTAATGCACATTTGTTTTGCGGTGAATTCACAAAAGCAGGAGTCATTGACATACTTACTATATATCGATAGATAAAGCTCATTCATCTGACCATCAAAGTATACACTACCCATTGTAAAAAAAAAGTGTAGACTCTAAGCCTTGTTTGTAATACTAATACCGAATGTACCGCCGCCTAAACATCAAAGAAACGAAACACGAGGTTTATGCTACGAGTTCACTGGCTGTATATTTTTAGATCCTTTTTTTTTTCGAGTCCCGTACAAGACCCACAGCGAGTTTTATGTATGCTTGAAATTGTATATTCTACTATTCGGATCCATAAAAGAGCCGGGTGACTGTCCAGCCGATTGATTTGCTACATGCCGTTGAAAGACGGCGTGATAAATGAAGTAAAGCAAGATACTGCGGGAACTGTCTTTTTCGGAGAGCTTTTCCGGAAAATCGAAAGTTCTTGCTGGAAGTATGCAAGCCAAAGGGCTTCGTGTAATGTAACTGATTCTATGAAGACATAACAAAGGATAAAATGATAAAGAGATGCATCCCCGATTCAGAAACACAAGATATTATCCACAGCCTTTACATTATAGGCCTGTGTATGTACGAAAAATGCAATGATTGAACACGCGCAGGGTTGTTGTTCTTTTTGTCAAAACACTACCTTTTTAGGTGATCACCCTTACGTGCATTACGTGTCACTTACCTCAAAATAAACGCTGTTTGACGTTGCACCGAATTTAATTTTAGAATTGGATTCTAGAAACACGAACTAATACTTGATCCAAATCTATATATAAACTCGCTTCAACGTCGTTGCCATGGTCAATTGCTCTTGTCTACCGATAAGAAAAAGCAACGTTCAGAAACCAATTTACACAATGATTGCATTCAAAGCATTGATCGCCATACTTATTACCTTCTTGTTTGTACAATCTGTCACGCCCGTTGCTACGCGCGCTCCACTGACCATCGCTGACGCTGTTAACGTAGTGCGACAAAAACTAAATCTTCCTCTTGTGACCGCCAACTCGTAAGAAATAACAACTCTCTCACATTTAACTACGTCATATGCAACCGTGTTATTGACATTTATTGCTCCTTTACTTTGCTTCCCGATATCCACTAGTAAGCTGGACACATTTGCCGCTGATTATCTTTATAAATTGGCCAAGGGAACGGTGTCTGGTCTTTTAGGCGTCAATGAGCTTGTTTATGAACTTTCTTTAGTCGGTTATCAGGCTTCGTTGGCTGCAATGACTCTGTCAAGGGGATATACACCGGCAGAGTTTATATATGAGTAAGTAAACGTACATTGTATTAGCAAAATCCATAATTGAGCCCGATCAATTATTTATCGTTGATTACTTGATGTTTATTCCTTGATACTAAAAAATGTATTTTCGTAATTATTACTTACCAGATTTTATCAAGATCCTGACGGTTACAAAGTCCTTACTTATTCAAGTCTTTCTGATGTTGGTGCCGTTGACGTTTTTGCCGACGATGGCACTGAGTACATTTTATCAATATTTGCCGTAGCACAATCTGGTACCACAAAACGTGCACCATTAGATGTCTCAAAGTTGGCAAAATTGACAACCGATGAACGTTCGTTTACAAAAGCCATTGATGTTAAATTTTTGGAATAATGTCTATTAATAGTCACAAATGCAATCATAATAAAGTGTAACTATGGTTATTATTATTATTTATAAATAAGCGGGTAATGAAAACACAGAACGATAAAAATGACAACGTCACATCAACAATAATAAGTCTCATGCATTTAACTTTTTACGCATGAATTTATTTTGCAAATAGCATTAAACATACGGTTTATATGCTGCAATTTAGCCAATCGTGTTTTCTGCGCACAAAATACTCGAATACCAAAATAATCAACTGAATACGTTACGTTGTAGGACTAATAAAGATTTCCGCTTATTAAATATACATGTTACCAAGTTAAAGTAGTTGGATTGTTTGCGCTATAGTAATAGTAAAAGTCTCGGAACATATTGTTCTCATATACTACACGTATATTGCTTATTTACCAACTTTTTGTAAAATAAAGTACAAACAGAAGTATCATAAAGTCGGCAATAAAATTAAATAACCAAGTTATGGCTATCTATAGAAGAGCTTATATTTGCAGCGAGTGTAATAGAATTGAAAATGTGTGATCAGCCTCGGAGCGTTAATCTAAATGCGGAAGAATGAATACAGATGTTGTGGACAATAGTTGTCTTTGTAAACAGTATAATGTGGGGGTTCAACACCGTGCAATTATCCCAGCAACCTCTGCTTGTAAAATAACTAACAACGATAAAAAAGATTACTCGCAAAAACCAAAGATGGTATTCTTGGGCGTGCCAACAGAATGGTAAAGGGGCCACCGACAATCACAGAGAGCTAGTCACTGCTGAAGGGATAAAGCACCATTCAGATCATTACAATTAAGTTCTATGGAATATTATTTCTCAGCTAAGCAAGAACACATAGCGTATTCGCATCTAAAGTTATTTGTATTGATTATACGTCTGATTATATCAGTATAGCTCGAATGTACAATAAACTTATAAATCTGTATAAAGTGATATGGTCTTATCAATAACTAATTCATATTGAGCATTTTACGATGTCCCAATTCGATGGAAATAAAAACTGATAATTTAACATTCAAGATACATTTATTACTAAATTCTCTTACCACACAATCTACATCAGTTTACAAATAGCTTGGTACTGTTTTAAATGTGGGTTTTTTTTCAGCATTATTGTATACGCTTCTACTCGTAAAGTCGTACTAATTGTTTTAATAGCGCTTTTTCGAGAAAATAATTAATCTGCTCACGTGATAATCCAAGTAAACGATTAAATGGATAACTACATATGCAATATAGTATCGATGTTATAACATTATCATAATAGCTCATTTCTATTGTGTCGCAACATTATCGGGCTTGTTTTTAACAGAAACTGTTGTTTTGTTTAACGTATGAAAATAAGACAATCGTTGGTAAGCGATCTCTGATAGAACGAGCACGGCAAGGCGGCTGCCTTTTCATTGTCCAAATATACTACATCATACAGTAGTGTTCCAAATATCTATAGTAATAATTAAACTCGTAAGTCAAATCGTTCTATGGCTACTGTATTAGTAAATGCATGCCAAAGTCCTTCATTTGTATCTTTACGAGGACGAACACTAAACGTTTAATTTGCACTTTTGGAGTGCAAGACATTTACACAGTAAATTTTGATATAACGGAGGACACGGTTCCAACCATTTCCTCCGCTAAATCGATAGTTTGCGATATACGGATATTATAATAAATACGTGAATTTCCGTCATATTAACAAGTCATTATAATCAACGATTCAAAAGTAAATTTATTACAGATTCAATTGACACTAAAATTCACAAACCCTTCCAACGTAGTTTGTTTCTCTTCAATGCGTTTCATGTAATGAGATTACCGGTATGTAACTCTTTCGTTGATGATCTAAATTATTCAGTTGAACACATTTTACCACATTATCAAATCTTCAATTGCATTATTGACAATCCTTTTTCTAATACTGCTTTCACAGTTCCAAATTTGCATCTTGATTTGCTACGTCTAATTGCGTTCAATGTGACGTCTTCCCACGCAAGAGTTGCAAAGTTAATTACGACAAATGTTAATTTTACATACGAAATAAAAACAATTCCACACCGAAAATTACTTTTTTTTTGTGCCCCATTTAAAGTAATTCGCTTTGAAGCAGATGTTTATGATCGTTCGGTTTTTAAATTGATACAATTGATTGGTCAGACAATGTATACTTAATATGGGCAAGCATATTTTTATCATTACGTTTGGATTAACATCCGTTATAGAGAGATTACTAATAATCTTCGATATATCAAGACACATTTAATTTGGTTCCGTCAAAAAATCTCCGTCCTAACATATTAAGCGATATCCGTTATATCGAATTTCACTGTGTTAACCGACTAACAAGTTTAGAATTACACGAAGATGTCAAAAAGTAAGGTATTCTTGTTCCTACCAAAAAAATTATCAGACGCTTGTTTTAATTAATTCGGGGCTGTATTCAATAATGTCTGACAGAGTTTGTTAAAGATTTTCGTGGAGTCAGAAAATTTTTTTGTAGCCCACATAAAGTGCTTACAAATGAAACACAGTAAAATAAGATAAAATTATTTTTAAAATCTGGAAATACTCAACTACTCTTATTGAAATTACACTGGAAATTGCAATCATACCTGTTGCTCAGTCCACTTTCCTACTCTAAATTGACCACTTGTTTGTAATACCATCATGACTGATTATCAGCAGCGCATTATTTCAAATTAATGAGCAAAGCATTGCGGTCTTCATAACCAGTTTAAAGTCAAACTGTGCACAGTTGCCATATTTAACACATACCAATTATTGTCTTTATCGCAATTTTGTCTTGCATTAGAGTGAAATAAATATACAGTACAGTACCATTGTGCATGTATGCATCAATTCGAGCCGTTTCGGTTAATCCTGCCACAATGTATGCTGATATTGTTCCGGATTGTAGTGTTTTTTCCATATACGCATAACAAGGATCGTAAAAACTTGTAAACAGATGCTAAATTGCGATAGAAAAGATGAGTGGTAGATATTTTAATCAACATCTCAATAAAGTTAGCAGTTTGTCAAAACAGGGAAAAAAAACGACAATTTCTGAAACTTGGTACAATAATCAAAACAGAACATGTTATTAGTGTCGTTAAAGACGTTGAACCTGTAACATTCTTGTTGATATGCACCGCGTGTATTTTAAACAGGATTTCAGTCAGATGACACTTTTCTGTTACGCGATTTCAGTTGTCGCATTCATTGTCTGTACATCATGATTTGATATTTGCCCCCTGTTGATGTAATCACTTGTAATCATACCAAGTCATGCTAATATCAGTTATGCTTGCGTTGTTTGTTGCCTGCAATGCACCTAATTACTCAAGTTAATGATCGTAATATAAACAATGCTATTCGCAAGGCCTTTTCATTTATAACGTCAGATGGTGCGCAAATGCCTTGTTGGATATATATGAATTCGTCATACGATCATTAATAAAAGATGTGATGACGTAAAGAATTATCAACAAAGTACCATTATCAACGATGATAACGACAGATGGTATGCTGTGAGTGTCGTTTCCATTCTTTTCTTGCCGACAAGAAATATTAAAGGAACGGCGACCCATTTCCCTCACACAATTACAGACGCTTTAATATTTAAATGGGATAACATATTTAGCAATTATAATATCATTCCGGAATACTGGAAATGCAAGCGAGAAAGCACTTCACCAATGAGGTTGAAGATAAACAACTTGATATAACCGGCATCCCTTCTGTGATGTTTTCGATCATTTGAAAAACTGGTTATTGTCCACTGACATTTGAGTATGTGAGACAAAATGCCGCTTTAGGGTTTTGATATAACAATGCAAAGAGTAAATATTAATAATCTACTATATAAATACAAAGATTATCACGATTATGCATAATACGGCAGTTAATTTCCATTGATTCCTAACTTTTGCGATATGCGACACCATACAAAGACAATTCGATTACATTTCTATTGATATTACTGCCGATCATTTTAATATTGCCGTAGCATCGATTTCCAGTATTAGCTTACAAGAGAATCAAGTAAAAATACTTAATTACGACCCTATCTATTATCCGACTAGACATTTCCGTTGGCAATTACCCTCCTCCCTTCACTCTCATTGGCGTGACGTCGTTCAGGTGGTGACTACTTGAAAATTATAAATTATACACCCGGATGTATTCTGCCTCACGACGAGTTTGATTTCTTGTCATTCTTTTTTTTTATATATTTATTTTCCTCTCCACGCTATTACATTCTCTTTGGCCTCAACTTGTTTTCTACAATGTCTGCTCAACATATACACAAAATGATTCGTGCCCTCTCTGATGCTGTAACCGATACTTCATTCATACCACCCGATGACAACTACACTTCGTCAGACCCAAGCGACATCCCCAACTTTAATCCTCCCACTGGCGATCCCTCCGACCCTTCTTCCTCCGACTCTTTTCCCACTTTTTCTAATGATTCCTTCTCTCTCTCCGATTACGATAAATTGGTCTACCAAGCAGATGTTGTCTATAACTTGAACAATTGGCTCAGCGTAGTCAGCATCGTCGGAGGATTAATAGTCTTGATAGTTATGATATCAATATGGCTATACGACAGGAAATTGGTTAACAGGGTGTCTCTCAGGCTGACTGCTGTGATATCGTTTGTCGATATTTTGGCTGCAATCTCGGTTATTGCGTATACGCGAGTTTCAGGAGAAGATAACATTGGATGCATGATTCTTGGATGGACTTTGTCATTTTTACCCCAATGTTATTTATTTTTGACTGTAATGATTGCATTCAATTTACAGGTAGGCAGGGATGGAAAAAAAAAAAGAGTGAATGGGGAGAAGATAAATGGAAATTTTCATTTTCAATGCTTATCATGTTATTTATTTACATCACTGTATTACGTCATTGCTAACCCCTCCCCATCTCCTTATAGCTCGTGTTCCTCCACAGACGTAAAGTTGCTTCTTTTTCTGATAAATGGTATATTCCAGCCGCCATATTCATCGCCTTCATCATAAATCTCCCACCTGCCATATTCCACGTCTTCGGCTATGAGTCCACTTTCAGTACCTGCCTCTACCGCACAGACGAGTTCTCACCCAAAGCTATTCTCTATTGGAAGCTCTTCACCTTCATAATCCCTTGCGCTGTCACAATGATATACTGTACTGTAATATTATCGATAATTGTCTTTAAAATAAAGTTTGTCAACAAAAAGATAGCGTCAATTGGAGGTGGAACTTCGTCGAGAAGGAGCGAGAAAGAAAGACAAAAGGAGATACTAGTGTTAAAGCTAGTCAGTCGCATTACACTGTATGCCGTTGTTCCTCTAATTACGGTTGGAGGAATTGTGGTAACTTATATTTTTGACGTGGTTGCGCCAGAGACGCCATTCGGGGTTGTTGTCTGGAGTGTTGTTGGCAGTTCTTTACCTGGTAAGTCTTGAAAAGAATATAGATATTAGGTGGTAACAAATTGTGCATTGACAAGTTTGATCAAAAACTTTTAATTTGACTCATTCGTTTTACTGTACCGTCTTCTTTCACGTCCCCTCCCCCGCTCTCACCTCTTTTATTCCAGGCTTTTTCAACTGCCTCGCTTTCCTCTTTGATCCAGCAATCCACAACGCACTACGCAAAATCAAAAAAGATCTCATTTCCAAATACGGCCCCAGCTCACCATTCTCTCCTCCAATGTCACCGTTATCACCACTGACAGCATTCTCACCCACCATAATAATCTCATCTAATAATTCAAGCAAGTTATCATCAACTCACCGTGGATCTTACATAAATGCTATGCGCCCAAATGTCAAAGATCTCAAGAGCGGGAACATGAGACTATCGTTGAATCCTGTGGGAATGACAAAGTTAGAACAAAGGTTAACAAGGATCGAAATGGAACGAAGAGAGAATAGAAGTAAATTTATGGTTTGGTTTGTTAGTACCTTTCTCATTGGAAAAGGTTCAGATCATCAAAGAACCGAGATAGGCAGTAATGGCGCAAATTCTGGAAAAGACACTTCCCAACAACATCAGCAGGGTGCTACTAGTCAGAACACTTACATCCCTACAAGTGTCGCATCTCCCACAGTGTGCTCTACGCAGACGATAATTTCGGCAGTTCCATTGGCAAAGAAGAAGAAGAACAAGAGCAAATGGTTTTTGAAGAAGAAAGAGAACAAAAGCGGTGCATCTATAGAAGTTACTGTTTCAAGGACGCCAGAGCCTGAGCCTCAACACAAGATTGTCGACATGTATAGCGATGATGAAAATGATAACAAAGCGTATGATGATTACGCAAATGCATACAATAATCTTGACTGTGTCGATGCGTGTGCTAGTTATTCATCCTCTATCGGTCAATATTCAGACACTTTGGCGCCGTCATTCACGTCCTTTTCGTCTTCGCCATTCCGGGCAAGTGTCTCGACTTTCGCGACCGGCCCGAAGGATCCAGACGAGATTGAGATTGAGAAACTGTAGGCAAAAATGTGCTACTATACTTGGAGCGATAAATGTTTGGATGAACGTTATCATTTCATATTTTATTGTAGACTTGTGCCACGGCTGTATTTTCGCACATGTGTCCTATTGTGTGTGGGGCTGTGTTGTTGCTTGGTTATTGCAAAGGCTAGAGAAAGTGGGCTCTTAAAATTCGAATTTAGACCCCATAAATTACACCATGCATTTTTTTTTAACCAAGTATAGATTGTTCCAATTTATGTCGTTACTTGCCCAATGCTCCCCATGTGAAATAGCTGTATTCCTTGGCAATGCATTCTGTAAATACGTTGTATGATTATGGGTTGTCTTTATATGGGTTGTTAATAATTGGTTCTTAATTACTTTGTAATGGGGGGTAACAGCTTTAGTTTACTTACAAATAGATTCGGATATTTATTGAGCTGGATTGATCAATAAATAGAATATAGGTTGACTTTATTGTACGAGTATGCTGCGATCACAGCAATAAAAAGTTTTGTTATTGTCAAACTATATTGGTTAATGAAAACTTGATAGACTACACAATTCCAATATCTACTCCAAGAAATCTTTTTGTTATAATTGGCATAAGTCACCGTTTCTGAGTTTCATTGGTGAGAACTCTGGCATCAAGCGAACGATCAATCGTTGGGTAAACAAAGTGAACAAAGTTCGGCAATAATCATACTATTCAAACATCACTGCGTAAACGTCCTGAACGTCCCACAAGCCTTAAAGAATTAGAAGCGAATTCCAAAAAAAAACAAACACGAAACTATTTAAACTTAATTGATTGCGAATAGAGGCATGCATTGCTCACAATTAGATATTAAAATTTTTATAAAAAATAAAGATAATTGCTTTTAAAGAAACTGCATATCCAGTGTATGATACAATTTGTTTCTTAGCTTCGCAGCTTTTGATTTACTAAGTTTTTTTTCCAAAGTGTGTACTATGTCAGCATTATATTTTGCTGTCACAGCATTTTCCACCTATAACGGAATTTTGATTTAGAATAGATCCATCAATGTGCAACGAATGTAGATAAGCAAACTTACCAGTAATTAATATCTGTTCCGAAATAAAAGCATTGTTACCTTTTTACTTCAAAGATACGACTATTATAATTTACATGTCCATTTTACCATTGCTCGTAAGATTCTATCACCTTGTTGCTTTCAAATCGAAGGGGAGAATCAACCACAAGGGGAGAATCAGCCATGGTGTATTTCTATGAATAGAATGTTTAGTTACGAAAATTACTTACAATGAACCAGTTTTTGTATGCGTCAACGGTAGAATAAAATACGTCACAAAAAGTTTACGTCATGCTTGTACAAACAAGAAAGTATACGTCACAAGAATGAAACGGTAGAATTAATTACGTCATGCTCGTACAATAAGAAACGTATAATAAAATACGTCACCGTATGATTCTCATGCTTGTAAATAAAATGCGTCATAAAAAGTTACGTCATGCTCGTATATTACAAGAAACGTAGACTAGTATACTAACGTAGACTAAACTACGTCACAAACGGTACGTCATGCTCGTACAAGTAAAATTAAATACACGCCATGCTTGTAATAAGTTTACGGTCTTCTCGAAACGTGGAATAAATACGTCATAAAAGGTGTACGTCATTCTCGTACAAGCATGACGTTCGTCTAAATAAAATACGCCACA